CTCTTCTTTCTTTCATATAAATGTTTTTTTGCAAGCAATTTATCCCAAAGTGAAAGCAAATTAGCAACAGTTTATTCATAAACTGTCATGGATTGAATTATGCATGCCCCTGTCAATATGTGTCAAGTTGGGTAGACCAGGCTTCCCAGTACTGTGTGATTTCTTCCATTTTGTGATTTGATAAAATCATTCTCTGTTTTGTAATGTTTTACAAACCATAAGCTCTAAATGGTAATGAGACAGGATGAGCATGGGGTGGATCTTGAGAGAGAGTCATAAAATGGCATGATTCAAGTTCTACATTGACTGAAGCACCACAGTTATTCAAGCCACGGCCTTTCCGCCAGAGCCCACACGGAGAGAAAGCCTTCCCTTGAATTTGGACCTCTGGCATCCTAACCTGTGAGAGAATAGAGTTCTATTTTTAAAGACTGGAGATTAGATAATTAAAACACAAGCAGAAGATTTCCTTTTGCACATTTGGCTTGTTCTAAATGTCGGTGAGATAGAAAGAAAGAGAAACAAAGAATTTTCTCCTTGAAAAGTCAGAGCCTGGACAAACATGGCATGTCTCTATCATTGACCTTGTGTATTTTACCTTTTGTAGCATGCCCTGTAATTGGGCAGTTTGAATGCTTCTGCCATACTCTTTATATTAATTCCTTAAGTCCTCTTTTAAAAAAACAACACAGCGGTGTGAAATGAAGGATTGCGGGTGCCATCCACCTGTTTTCTGGACGGAGCTTAAAAATCTGTCCTCTGGCGACCTTCGGTGGCTGAGGCGGCGGGTGGGGCAGTCTGGCCAGCTCTACCCTCAGGCTTGCCCCCTGACAAGGGCCAAGGGCGTATTCCCCTGCACCCTGGTGCTTCATTCGGCCACATTGCAGAATCTTACAAACGTGCGTGCACTTTGAAGCAATCTCGCCGACACCCCCTCCATTCTAGTGTTCAGGAGCTTCGTGGGGGTTGGCCAGGTGGCCTACATCTTCCGGGGACTTCATTCCCGGGAAGATAGTCGCACTTGTCGATGTGATTGATCAGATCTTTGGTTGATGGCCCTTGCACTCAGGTAAGGCGCCAGGCCGGCCCTTCCAAGGGCACACAACTCGCTGACTTCGTCCTCCAGTGCCCACACAGGCCGGGAGGAAGCAGAAGAATGTCCGAGAAGCCTGGCAGAAGGCAGCTATCAATACAAAATGGGCAGCCACAAGATGGGCCCACAAGATTAATGCCAGAGAGAAGAAAGCCAAGGTGACAGCTGTTGGTCATGTTAAGTCATGAAGGCAGAGACAATGAGGAACTGGTTAATAAGTGTGAAGTTCAGAAGCTTCCAAGGGCGGCTCTCCTGAAAGCTTCTCCTCCAAAAAGCAAGAACTGCGGAAGGAGCAGCTAAGAAGGTTCCAGCTAAGGAGGTGGAGGCTGCAAGGAAGGCTCCCGCCCTGAAAGAAGGCTCCTGCTCTAAACGAGCAAGCTGCGGGGTAGCAGGCTGAGCCTCCCAAAGCTCAGAAAAGCCAGAAAGCTCCAGCCCAGAAAACACCTGCCCTGAAGGCAGCTGGCAAGAAATTACAAAGTGTTATTATATTTATAAAAAGGTAAAAACAAACAAACAAAACCCAACGATACCCTGAAACCTAAATAAGATGGTGACCAGAGGCACTATTCATTTCATGGTTGTTTTGGTTTGGTTTACCGAAAATGAGAGGGGGAAAAGTTACCTTAATTGCTGCTGCTGTTGTTAATTTCTGACTCATAGCGAACCACAGAATGAAACCCTGCCTGGTCTGTAGCATCTTCACCGTTGTTATATTTGAGCCCATTGTTGCAGCCACAGTATCAATCCACCTTCCTAGTTTTCACTGTCCTTCTACTTGACTAAGGATGAAGTCCTTTCCCAGTGGCTGGTCTCTCCCGAGAGAAGTCCAAAGCACATGAAATACCGTTTCCCATGTCCCCTTCCAGGGAGCATTCTGGCTGTACTTTCTCCACGGCGCTTGTTTGTTCTGTTGGCAGTCCACGGTGCTGTCCACACTCCTCGCCAACAGCAGAAGGCAAATGCACGAGTTGTTGTCAGTCTTCTTTATTCAATGTCCAAACTTCATGTGCGTACGAGCCAATGGAAAATACCACGGCTTGAGCCAGGCACACCTGATTCCTCAAAGCAGTCCTTTGCTTCGCTGTTTCCTTATGCCTTGCTTTTCAGCACTTTAAAGAGATTTGCCCACGCAATGTCATTTGGTCTTTGGACTGCTTCTTGTCTTAGCAGTAATTGTGAATCCAAGAAAAATGAGCTCCCTAACACCTGTAACTTTTTTCTCCATTTATCATGATGCTACCTATTAATCCAGTTGTGGGAAATGTTGGTTTTTTACATTAAGTTGTAATCCATCTTGACTGCTACAATCCTGAATCTTCTTCAGTAAGCAAGGTTGTGTCATGTGCATATTAAAGGTTGTTAAAAAGCCTTCCTCCAATCCCGATGCTGTGTTCTTCAGATAGTTCAGCTTCTCTGATTACTTGCTCAGCAGATAGACTGAGAAGTATGATAAAAAGATGCAGCCCTGACACCCACCCTTCTTGATTTTAAACCATGGGTATTTCCTTGTTCTATTTACACAACCGCCTCTTGCTCCATGTGCAGAGTCCCCATGAACACAACCAAGTGTACTGGGATTCCCATTCTTCCCATAGTTTATGACCCACATAATTGAAGGCCTCTGCATGATCAATGAAACACAAGTCAACATATTTCTGGTGTCCCCTGCTTTCTGTCAAGACCTATCTGACAGCAGCAATGATATCCCTTGTTCCACATCTTCTGACTGCACCCTGCATTTTTGGCAGCTCCTTGTTGAAATACTGCTACAAATATTGTTGAATGATCTTCAGCAAAATTTAACTTGCATGTGGTATTGCAATATACTTTTCACATTCTGTTGGGTCACCTTTCTTTGGAATGGGTACAAAAAATGGATTCTCCAGTGGGTTTGGCAGGTAGCTATCTTCCAAATTTCTTAGCATAAATGATTGAGTGCTTCACCAGCTTATTGAAACATTTCGATTGGTATTCAACTGGTACACCACCGATTCTTTAATTACTGTTGTTGTTTTTGTTAGATGCTGTTCAGATTTTGACTCATAGTGACACCCCGGGATATTCCTGGCTGTAATCTTTTGAAGTGAATGGCTAGGGTTTTTTGTTTTTGTTTTTGTTTTTCCCATTGAGCTGCTGGATAGGTGGGTTTGAACCACCCACCTTTTTCTTAGCAGCTGAGAGCTTATCTATCCACACCACTAGGGCTTCTTGTTATTAGCACCAACCAAGCCAACTACTTTTGGAAATAATTTGAGATAAATAAAGTTTGATCCTGTCTTAGAATCGGGCCCAAAGTAGCCCAAACCACAAATGGGCAAGGGACTATTACAAAGTCAGAGACAGCTGTAGTCCCACAGTACTACATGTACAAAGGAAATTAGTAGAGAAACTCTTCAATGTTGTGTTCCATACAACGGCTGAACTATGGCAACAACCCAAGTGACCAACATTTTAGGGTTGGTTAGCCAAATTAAGATGCGTCCACATAATAGAATGTCTTGCATCCATTCAAATGATGTTGTAGAATGACATTGCAAGTTTTCTTGGTACATTAAGTACAAAAAAAGAATGTGGAAAACAGTCCGTATAATATTACATCGAGGCTCTGACGGCACAAAGGTCCATCCCTAAGATGCTAACCAAAATGTGGGTGGCTTGAATCTACACAGCAACCACGTGAGAGAAAAACCCAGTGAACTGCTCTCATGAAGCTTACAGCCTAGAAAACGCTATCAGGTGTTTCTGAGTTGAAAACTGGCCCATGACACCTAACAACAATAACAACATTACACCAATTATGGAAAATGATGTAGATCCATATAGGCATGGAAAGGCCTAGAATATATATATCTATTAGAATATGGAATATTTCTTACTAATGGAATCATGGGAGATTTTTATTTTCTGTACATTTAGTAATGAATAGCTATACTTTGTAATCAGTAAAAGTGAATATTGTTTTTTTTTAAGTCACAGGCTTACTTGCCAGGAAGTTCTTAGCTTTTTAAGGAATGGAAGGGTGAGTTTTGTGTTCGTTGAACCCTTTCACCAGTTACCCCTGTCTGAACACCAAAATCTTACACAGGTGTGGTTTCAACATGTAAAAAAGTTGGGTTTTTTTTCACTATTTTACTTCATTGGATTTTCATGGTAGCATCATAAAGTGAAGCAGATGTAACAAGTAAGACTATGTTGTGATAGTTAGGGTTTTTGCACCAACATGGCACCCTACAAGAAGATATGGGTGGAGTTTTGCCTGTCAATCAGGTTGCAGCTTGATGACCTCCTTTGAGTTGCCACTGGGATAAATGGCTCTCTCTCTGCCCTCTCCTTCCTGTTGACGGGCCATGCTGAGGCCTGCACGAGCCCTGTGATGCAGTGACCACCATTGGGTCCACGCAACTCTGCACCCACTGCCACTGGTGAAGCCACCAGTGGTCTTCCTGCATTCTGTATTATTGCATGTGGCTCTGTGAGTCTGAAGAAAGATGTACGGACTAGTGTTGGACTTACGGACTTGAGTAGGAATGGGCTGGGATGTTTTACTGATGCACGATTACTTCCTGATCTGAAGCTCTTCCTTACACATATATGAGTGTCTTAGGATTTGTTTCTCTAGTCAACCCAGCCTAGCACATATGCTACGTCTGCAACCCAATAGCACATTTGTAAACCTTGAGTTAGAGATGTTCTCTTTCTTAGAAATCCAGAACAACGGTATCTGCTTGACTCCAATCCATATGAGTTCTAAACCCCGAGGGAAATGTTTCTCTCCAGTAACCAAATGTTTGCCTGTCTGGACTCCCAATGTGCTAGCCAACGGGCACCAAGAAGACTGCTGGGGAAGAAGCTGTGAATGGCAATCTGCAGAGAGGACAAAGACGGACTCACCACGGATTACACTCACGTGAGTGGTCAGGTTTCTTCTTCTTCTTCTTCTTCCATTGTATTAGAAAGCCCACCAGACCAACAATGAGCAGTAAAAGGACAGCAGCCGTGGCAACCCAGATGATGTAATCGTTTTGACTCAGTCGTGGTTCTTTCTTCTTAGAAACTAGAAAAGACCACTCGTTTTCAATCATCCAGTAAGGTCATTTATAAGAAGGCTTATTCTTCTTATTGCCCTGCCTGCATCTTTCCAGGACTCGTGGTCCTAGAAGTCTGAAATCCACACTAGGGGGCATAGAAAGTCCTGGATTCAGGACCTCAGCAGCTAAGACCTAGCCAATGCTTTGGGTCAAATTCTTAAGCTGAATGGCTTTCCTTACTAGAGGTTAGCCAAGGAGGGAGCAAACCAAAGGACCCGAGTTAGGAAAGATTAAAGTAATCAGACTGGCAGATGCATAGGAGTCAGGGGCAGAGCAGCTGATGATTAGGACAATGTGGATTCAGAGGACATGCATGCCACGAGAAGATCTTGAAATTACTGCTCCTCAAAACAATGTGGACGTTTTCCCTTGAGGGTCAAGCTGCTACTTAAAAATGTCAGGCTCCTCTCCTATGATAATTTCCTCCCATTGGCCTTAACCTGTACCACGTAGTGTGCATGTCAATAGCATTTCTGAGCCCCAATCTTTCTTTGCTGCCTGTGTGATGATCCCGCCGCCACCTCCTGTGCCCTACTGCTCTTCAACCATGGTCCTCTTGTACCTTTTGAGCCTGGACACCATCTCAGAGTTATGCTGTGCAAGAAGCTACTGCCATTTTGACTACCTGCCATCTAAAATGCTCTCCCTTCTGCTCACCAAACTTTGTCTTATTTCTGTAAGGGGAGTATAAGGTTCCACTTCCTTCAGGAAACATTTTTACAAGTCTCAGGAAACTTGCCTTTCTTCTCAATACCTATAAATTGATTTTCAGTCCTTCTTGTTTAAATGTAGTTCTGTATTTCTATGGGATTGAATTTAGATTCTCACTGAACTTTTGTGTGCATCATGACTCTGTTGGAAAGTCTTCAAGGGTAAAGAGCATGCCTTAGACCTTTTAATATTTTCCCCACACATCCAAGAAGGTTCACAATGACCTGTATTCATAATAACTGCCCTGTACAAGTACATGCATAGATGTGCATGCACGCATGATATGGGTGTCTGTGTTATGTTTATGACTGTAAGAATTAAAGCCTGGAAGAAGTCTGAATTTTATCACCTACACTTCAGAGTCTTCCTCCAAAAAGGAGCCAAAAAGACCGGGTCCATTAATGGGCTCAGAGCCTCTTTCTTTAAGTGCAGCATAGGCGCAGAGACTCTTGCACCCTGCATCTTCACTCAGTTCATGAAGCAGTAGCCCTCAGTTTGGGTCCTCCCTAAAAACCTCATAAAATGACCAAATTAGAGGTTTCTCGACATTGGAGATAGTATGTCTTAAGTGTCCATGGATAATATTCATGAATGGAATAAAGGATCTTGGAAAACAGCTTTACCTATAAGATAAGGTTTGGAGTGAAGACACGTCTTCTGCAGCCCAGGTTGCACGGGGAGGGCATCTGTGGGGCAGAGAACACACAGAATACTTGCACTCATGGTATTATCAGGTCTGGTGTAATACAAGCTGATGGAAACACGGTATAGTTCTGTGACGTTATCTTGAAATGGATGCATGGTAGCAGAATACTTGCTAGTTGAATTATCCGTTGAATTCTTGACCAGAAAATACATTTCCTTAGGTGGTGGGTAACCTTGTGTAGAAGAGCAAGTCAAATTTACATAAGATGTATCTGATGAATTAGAATCTGGAATGATTTCAGGCTGACTGAAGTTAGCTGAAAGCAGAAGGGAGAGAGAAAAGATCAGTTTACGTTGGGATGACCAGGTATCTGATCTGGGAACTTATTGGGGGTACATCTCAGAGCCTCCAGCTGTCCTAAAGGTCAACCTCAAGTCATAGTGAGAGTCATATGATGACCCCCACCTTGATTTTTCAGAAATGCAATTTTGAGACCCACTCACTTTCTCCTCATCCAAAGCACGGGGATGCCCTCTGAGCCTGCAGGGTTGAAATGGAACCGACAAAGATCTACAATGGGGCCATTACTCCACGGACAGCAGCCTGTAGGAGATGTGTTCTGACTCAGGACCCTAGTGTCCCCTGGAATCTATTTCAGACTAAGGATAGAAAGGGCTAAAGCTCCACCAGAAATTAACAGAATTCATGGCATTGGTAAACGCTTGATCATGTCTTTCAGAAAAACCAAGCATGAAGTGGTCCGTGAATCGATGGGGGCTGGGATTTAGAAATTCAGTATACTGGTTCTTGGCATGCCCATCAAGACACCTTCATCCCGTTCCATGAGAAGGCAGTCAAATCAAGCCATCTTTAGGGGAAACAGATGAGCTTGATAACTACAGTGACTCTTTTAACTTCTTTAAGTGACCTGCAGGAGGAAGGTAGATTGCCCTGGTGCTACCTACTTTGCCCTTACCCTATGTAGTAGTATCGACGTAACCACACATTGGATGAGTTACAATTTTTCTAGTACACATTAAATAAAAATAACCAAAAAAAACCTCTTAAAATTTAAAGATGATAAAAGCTTGCCGAAGACATGTTCCACCAATGGAACTGGACTACAATTTTGAAAACACTGACATGGCACTTGGTTGCAGAGTCCAAAAGCCCTGGAGCCTGGTTTGACTCATTCACATAGGACTCAAAGGAAACAGCTCCCTCTATTTCTACTTTTGTCTGCTTTACTCTGTGATCGCAGAATACGTATTGATCTATCTGGAATTGTTAATTGGGCACCTGGAAGCCTGCCCTCTCCTAGCAGTCTTCCACTGTGATCAACTTGATTTCCATTCGTAATGACCCAGTGGGGCGGAGGAAAACTGCCCACTGGGTTTCCCAAGGCTCTGACTTTCACAGAAGCAGACAGCCATAGCTTCGCCTGTGGAGCAGCTGGTGGCTTCAAACCACCAACATTTGGGTAGCAACCAAGTGTTTTTAACGGTTGTACCACCAGAGGTCCTCTATCTAACCCTAGAGAAATGAAAACTATGTTCACACAAAAACCTGTACACGAATGTTCACATGTTTATAGTAGCCCCATACTGGAAATAACTCAAGTATTCATCTGGGGATGCGTGGATAAACAGCAGAATGGTACTCAGCAATAAAAAGGAAAAGCACCTTTGATAGGAGCAGCAATTTGGATGAATCTCTGAGGTATTCTTTTGTATCAGAGGAGCTCATTTTAAAAGGTCATACTAGTTCTGTATGCCTCCATTTATGTGGTATTTTCAAAAACGACAAAAGCATAGCATTAAACTGGCTACAGGTGCAAGGAAGGGGTGCCTAGCACGAGGGAGCTTGTTTAGTTTAGTGGAAGTCTTCTTTATTCTGATTGGGCTATTGGCTACACAAATCGCTGCGTGAAAATTCACAGAGCTGGACACCAAAGGGGTGGGGGTGGGGAGATGGAAATTTTTACTATATAATTGATCATTTAAAAAATCTGTAGTGCTCTAACAGTAAGGAGTCCGAAAAAGAAGAAAACGTTCTAATCTTGATGGTGGTGATTGATGAATGCACAACTCTTCTTAATCTGATTGGACTAGTTAATTGTATGACGTGAATCGTATTCCAATTTTTAAAAAAATTGTCATTTGTAGTGCCATTTAGGCTTCTCAAGGCTGAGCGCAGCAGAGGAAACAGGTTTGTCAGCTTGCGGACTACTCATTGAATTATTTCCCTTTTGTCTACTGGGCTCATAATACGCTTGGCAAACAGCTTATAAGGAACCTACAGGAGGTTGGAGGGAAAACCCAAATCGACCGACTGCAATCCTTGCTAGGGACTCCAAGCAAAGATTTTGTGGGCAAAATTTCTCAAACCAAAACAGAAAATGGATGTAAAAGAGATTTGAGGAGAGTAAATGGTTACATAAATTTAAGTAAAGGTCAAATGACTGTGGTTTTCACTTAGTCGCATTATCTTTGTTCATTTGATTCTATTTTGTCTCTAAAGCAGATTACAACTGACCCTTTAGGAGCAAAGTCTAAAAAGTGTAGAGGACGTTCAGTTCCCTACTCCCAGACCCTGCACTCTCTTGAAATGAACTTCCCAGAAGTGGTGGCTCTTTGCCTTCTTTCAACAAGTCCCCCCAAATAGTTCTCTATTCAGATCGTCTCATCTGAAAAGGTTAGGAATCTGATCACATCGTTAATAGTCACTTACCAAACACTGACAGTTCAGAACTCATCTGATTGATAAGAATGTGTCTGTTTGAACTTTTATGATAGACGAAACATTGGTATGTGGCCTGGTCCTTGATCTCAACATCGTGGAGGTACAGGGTCCAACTTTCCTTGTCAAAGCTTAAGTGACGATCCTTATACTTGGAAGCAACATTTTTGAATATCCTTTTGCCTAGGTAAAGTTCATATAAAACGGACTTCTCCTGGTCCTGCAAAAATATGACAAGCTCACTCGGGCTTATGTTTTGAGGGTTGGTAAATTGACATGGCAAAATTGCAGTCTCGTTGAAATGAGCCTGAATCTTGCTGGTGGCAGCAGCACCTAAAACAGGAAGAGGAGAAGCAAGAAAAAAGAACAATATAACTCTCTTTTCTGTCTGTACAATATCTAGGTGCTTTCTTATTAGTAATGATCCTGGAGAACTAGATACTGAGTTTTAGAACTGTGCATACATGCTTGGCATCTGGAAATCTCTCTGAGTCTCAGTTTCCTCACCTGTTTAATAAATAGATGGCTGAAATATTCTGAAGGTCTTTTTTAGAATCTGCACATAATTCTGAAGATTCAACGTCCAGGACAAGAAAATCAGGCAGGGTTAGATAACACATTTACCCTCCTGTTACCTATCAATAATCAGAATATTGATTCACATCACTGTAGCTATTATAGCTGCTCTTATTTCTGTCACCATCACCCTAAACCCTCTTATTCCTTGGCCTGATTGTGGGTAAAAGATTGTTGAAAATAAATATGATCCCCCTTTTCCTTATACCTCACAACAACTCCCTTAGTGGGAGGTCACATTGACTTATATCTTTGACATTCAAAAAGTGCTCTTTTTAGAGCTTCCTCAATGGTTGCTGTTCCCATGACCAGTTCTCCAAAGGATATGAAAAGGTTTGGAAATGACTCCAGTCGTCAACCAAGGCTTCTATTCTCAGTGACCTCTCTAAACCAAACCTCTTTTAGGAATCAGAAAGAGAACTGGGCAAGCATGATGACCGTTCTAGAATTGTGGTAGCCAGAGACCATTTAAGGAACATGAATGAAATGCTGGAAACGAAACATACATCAGGAGGCGAGAATGTTCTTCGGGAGCCTTGGGGAAACCCCAAGGCAAACTTGCTTTTCACAGTATCCACTACCCCCTGGAAAGTTTTGCAACTTACAGAAAATGTGGAAGAGTTCAGAAACAAAACAAAATAACAACAACAAGCTTTAGTCCTTGAGAAAATGTTGGGGTTTGTGTGAGGGATTTTGGCCACCAAACACCTTAAACATGATTATAAGGTTTGTGTAGGCCTTTTCTATGTTAGAGTTACTACTTGAGACATGGACCAGAAATAGTGGTTGGTGAGAGTGTGGGTGGAGTATGGGGTTAAGTGGCATCGTGGGAGCCCTCGTGCCATTGTGGATTATGCATCGGTCTGCTAACACCAAGGTCTGCAATTCAAAATCACCAGCCAGTCTTCAGGAGGAAGATGAGGTTTTCTGCTCCTATGAAGATTTACAGCCTTGAGAACCCGGGCAATTCTACTCTGTCCTATAGGGTCGCTATGAGTCAACATTGACTCCATGGTAATGAGCTTGGCTTTTTGTTTGTTTTTTAAATCGTTTTATGGGAACTCTTACAGCTCTTATCAAAATCCATCCATCCATTGTGTCAAGCACATGTGTACATATGGTGCCATAATCATTTTCAAAACCTTGTCTTTCTACTTGAGCCTCAGCTCCTCATTTTCCCCCTCCCCACCCTCCCTACCTCAAAAAACCCTTGATAATTTATAAATTCCACCCCCCATCCATGTCTTACACCGACTGCTGTATCCATTACCCACTATTCTGTTGTCCACCCCGCTAGGAAGGGGTTATATGTAGATCATTCTGATCCATTCCCCCTTTGTCCCTCACCCTCCTGGTATCTCTATTTTCCTTATTGGTCCTGAAGGGTTTAACTGTCCTGGATACCCTGTGTTTCCAGCTCTGATCTGTACCCGTGTATATGCTCTGGTCTAGTCAAATTTGTAAGGTAGAATTGAGGACATGATAGTCTGGGGAAGGAAGCATTAAGGAACTAGAGGAAAGTTGTATGTCTCATTGGTGCTATACTGCACCCTGACTGGCTCATCTCTTCCTTGTGACCCTTCTGTGAGGGGATGTCCAATTGTCTACAAATGAGCTTTGGGTCCTGAGTTAGTTAATTGTGCCAGCCTGGCCGATAATCACATGTGGTGCTGGTTGAAAGGCGGAGGGATAAATGGGTGGTGAAGCCTCGCCTTTCTAGTTCTCGGGTCTCTTGTTTTGTGATGGTTGCATTGGGTGCAGCTGCCTTAGCAGTTCCCTGCTTCAGCTTGCAAGATGGATTTCCTACAAGACATCCCCAAGGAGAAGCCGCATGGATCTATCCCGATGCAGCCCTGGGTGCTGGAGCAGCCATGTGGAGACCCCTGCCAGTGCTGAGATGCTTACACGTTCACTGACTCAGCTTTCCTCCTGCAGTCGGCATTATTGCCTCTGTTTTGTGAGGTGGAGGACTTTGTGGACTGGTGTTGGGTATGGGTTAATGTTGGACTTGTGGGCTTGGGCAGCATTGGGTTGGGATGTTTTCATGATGCACATTTTCTTTGCATAAAACTCTCTCTTATACGTGAGTTGCTGTGGATTTGTTTCTCCAAAGTACCTAGACTAATACAGGTCCCCACTCCACCCACCACCCACCCTCATTCACATTGATATGATTTTTCGTTCTGGGTCTTTGATGCCTGATACCTGATCCCATTAACACCTCATGATCACACATGCTGGTGTACTTCTTCCATGTGGGCTTTGTTGCTTCTCATCTACATGGCTGTTTGTTTATCTTCAAGCCTTTAAGACTCCAGATGCTATATCTTTCGGTAGCTGGGCACCATCACTTTCTTCACCACATTTGCTTATGCACCCATTTTGTCTTCAGTGATCATGTCAGGAAAAATGAGCATCACAGCATGCTGGATTATTAGAACAAAGTGTTCTTGGATTGAGGGAGCACTTGAGTTGAGACCCAATGTCCATCTGCTATCTTAATACTTAACATATAGATATAAGTACATAGATCTATTTCCCGATCATTGTATATAAATATATTTACATATGTACATGCCTGTATCTAGACCTCTATAAATGTCCTTTGCCTCCTAGTCCTTTCCTCTATTTCCTTTTATTTTCCTCTAGTCCCACTATCATGTCTGGCCTTCATTCCAGTTTCAGTAATTCCTCTTGGTTACATTGCTCTTGATTAAGCCCCTCCAGGCATCCTACGCCCACCTCTCCATTGATTTTAGATCACTTATTGTTCCCATGTCTCTGAGTTGGTTGACACACCCCTTCCTTTCTCCTGCCTCCCCCTCTCCCATGCCCCCCTGGAACCATTGGTCCCGTTGTTTTCTCCTCCAAATTGTTTATCCTGCCTATCATATCTGAATAGACATGTGGAGACAATAAGTTCAAAATGAAGACAAAGCCAAACAAAACAACAGAGGACAACAACAACCACAAAAAACAATGAAAAAAAAAGAAAAGCCTATTATAAATAGTTCCAGGTCTGTTTGTTGACCTGTAGGAGTGTTTTCCAGTCAAGTCTGATGGGGTGCCACGCTCTAGCCCCAATGTCTATTTTTGGTATTCCCCAGGGACTTCATTGCTTTGGTCTCCTTGCTCCTCTATTGCACACCCTTAGTGTATCACCCCAGTGTGATGGGATCAGATTGGGCACAATTCCTGCACGGTGTCTCCAGCATTGTCTCCTGTAGCTCTATGTGTCAATGAGGGATGAGCTTGATTTTGAGTTTGAGGAAAGCATTGTCATTCATATTTCAGTAAGGGGATAATGCCATTAAGGAAAAAAGGAGGTGGTTGGTGAAATATGAGTAGTCATCTAAAAGCTTATGGGAAAATGGAATTAAAAGATAATGGACATTTTCTATAAACTTTTTGAAGCTCCCTTGTAGTGGAGGAGATTGTCACTTGAAGTATGCTTTGGGGAATGTGAGATTTTAAATTGTCTGACAATGGGCTTCACATCTAAGAGTGAGCAGAAACTTGAATAACTGTGATATGCGCTTGACAGAACTAGATTGCCTCCAGATGAGCTTATGAGAACACATAACCAAGGGGGTTGCTGGTGGTCTTACACTCTATGGGAAGTGGACTCCAGGCATCCATACACTCAACATAACCCTGTAACGCACTTGAAAGCATAAAGTGTGAAATCTACACAGCACATGCTACTGTTTGGAGGGAGGAGGAAAATCTACCTGGATACCAAGAAGAGTGAAAGAGCGATCCAACAAAGATTTGCCTGTATTTTTAACCCTTAAGGCAAATCTGGAGCTCCTGCTACTCTTTTGCTAAGCTCTTAGTGATGACAGCATGGGTTAAGAATTGGGTTGCTATCTAGCAGGGAAGCCATGAAGTCCACGTGGAAGAAGCATACCAGCCTGTGTGATCATGAGGTGTTCATGGGAATCAGGGATCAGGCAGCAGAAGACCAAGAACAAACATATCAATGCAAACAAAGCCCATCTGTAGACAATTGGACATCCCCTCACAGAAGGGTCACAAGGAAGGGAAGAGCTAGACAGGGGTGCAGTATAGCACCAATTAAACACACAACATTCCTCTAGCTCTTTAATGCTTCCTTCCCACCCCACTCTCATGACCCCAGTTCTACCTAACAAATCTGATTAGACCACAGCATGTATACAGGTACAGATAAGAATTCTTGACACACGGAATCCAGGACAGATAAAGCCCTCAGGAACAGTATTGAGAGTAGCAGTTCCAGGAGGGTAGGGAGAAGGTGGGGAGAGAAAATGGAGTAAGGGAGAATCGATTGGAATGATCGATGTATAACACACAGACACACACACACACCAGGGAGACAACAGAAATGCGGGTGAAGGGAGACAGTAGATGGTGTAAGATATGAAAATAATAATAATTTATAAATTATCAAGGGTTCACGAGTGTGGGAATGGGGGAAGGAGGGAAAAAATAGGAGCTGATACCAAGTGCTCAAGTAGAAAGCAAATGTTTTGGAAATGATGATGGCAACATAGGTACAAATGTGCTTGCTACAAGTGGTGTATGGATTGGTATAAGAGCTGTAAGAGCCACCACGAAAATTATTTATAAACAAACAGAAAACAATAAATGCTAGAGAGGGTGTGGAGAGACTGGGACCCTCATCCACTGCTGGTAGGCCTATAAATATGTAAAACCATTGTGGAAAGTGAAATGACGCGATCTCAAACAACTGGGACTAGAAACTCCATAGAACC